ATGGCAGGGCTAAGCTGTTAGTGGACTGAGGGCAGATCTACACTGAACCTGGAAGGAAGGCTTAAGGTACACAACTGCAGCTACGCAAAATGCATACTTGGAGTAATCTTACCTTAAGATGAGCCGTGGTGGCGTCCACACGTTTCATTCCATGTACGGGCAATCCCTGGACCTGTGCCTCGAGCCACCTCATGTAAAACTCCAGTCCCGATCTTGAATGGTGCAAGGGTTGCCTTCTCAGGGTGCCTGGGCACTGGGCTGCAGTGGGATTTCCCGAGTCCTGGGTTAAGTAGGGACCCTGGCTTAGTCTCTCGTAAGGCCATGGTCTCCCAAACAAGGAGATGGGGAGACAGTGCTGGGCTATGGAGTTGGGTCATGAGGGTACCCTGGAACTCCTAAACCCTTTGGGGGCAAGGGATGGGGAGAGGATGCTGAAGCTCCCCCTGACCCTGGGGCCACACGTAGCTCCATGTATCAGGGCTATGGTACTCTTGATTGCTCTGAGGCTCAAAGGGGGTGTCATCCCCTGGGTCCTGGTAGCCAGGTAGCTCACCATTAGTTTGATGGCAGTGGCTATTAGGGTGATACTGTACAACACATTCCCTCCCCTGTCACAGGATAAGATCTGGGTAAACTACTTGAGCAGAGTCTGAAAAGTAACCTATGCCCCGGTCTTTGGATATGTCTAGACTGCATCCCTCTGTCAGCAGAGGGATGCAGATTAGGCAGGTCAACATTGCAAATGAGGCAGGGATTTAAATATCCCTAATTTGCATAAAAATGGCTGCCACGTTTTGCCGACTCAGCACTTTGTCAGCAAAAAGCAACAGTTTAGAGGAGGATCTGTTGAAAAAGAAAGCCTTTTTCAACAGATCCCTTATGCCTCCTGCAAGGCATCCCTTATGCCAATGCCTGCAAGGAGGAGGAAGGGATCTGTCGAAAAAGGCTTTCTTTCTCCACAGACCCCCCTCGAGCCTGTTGCTTTTTGCTGACAAAGTGCTGAGTCAGCAAAACACGGTGGCCATTTTATGTAAATTAGGTACGGGATATTTAAATCCCTGCCTCATCTGCAATGTCGACCTGCCTAATCTGCATCCCTCTGCCGACAGAGGGATGCAGTCTAGACACACCCTTTGTATCTAGCTTCAGCCATCTCCAGCAAGCATCACAGAGCTTTTGGGCAACGAGACAGAGATGGCCTCCTGTGGGGTACTGCTCCCCCTGGAAGTATTGTTGGAATGTCTCTTCCGAGATATTTAGGGCATTGAAGGTTACTGGCTTGACCTGGACATAGTCCTGAGCCCTGATGGGATCTAGTTTGCGGTGTGCAGGGCTGGGCTACTCCAGTCAGTTATAGGGCCAGCACAGCTGTCCACTGTTCCTAGGTCCACTGGGTTACCAGAGCCCCCCATTCAAAGGTTTCCAGCCACTCACTTCATCAGTGGCTCTATCTCCCTTCCTGGGCTGGTCTCACAGACGTCTCTCTCTTTATTTTCCGTTAGTAAGTCCCTTCAGCAGGGCTAAGGTTATACCCACATTCTCCACCACTTGTGACGAGGTCCCTGATGGCTGAATATCCTAGTGGGTAGGTTGTTGAGTAAGCAAGTTGAAAAGGTGGGGAGAAGTAGGGGGCACTGGGACACTCAAGCTTGGGACGTGGTGCCAAGAGTACAGATTCCACTTAGAGCTTCTCAATAGATTCTCCTGTTTTCCCAGAGGGGTAGAGTGGGGCTTACTTGCTCCTGTAGCTGCTGAGTGGACAGGCTCTGGGCTGCA